CCAACCAAGAATGTCTTGGAAGAAAGGCCAGATAATCTGCTTTCAAAGGTCAGAGTCTTGAAAGTATCATGGTGTGCAGTTCCACTCTGCCCACATCGGTTGTCACGAGGAAAGCCGCGACAGGACTGTGAAATGGACCCTTCTTGGGGGCTAGACGGGGACAGTGAAGGCAAATGCTACACATTCACTGGAGTCTTGCATTTGGAATGGTAGAGGAAATTATCCATGGGTATATAAAATACAGAGTCAGTATAAAACATAAGGATTGATAGCATAGTCATTCATTTCACTCTGGCTCCATTTGGGAGGGACAGCTCCATGTCCAAAGGCAAGAGATGAACTGCATCTCGGAGACACGCAGGAGAAAATCTGACTGTGAAAGTTCCTTTTCAGGATACCTTACCCAACGAAGTCAGTTTTTAGACATCTTCCTTACATGGTCTTTGTAAACACAAATTTAACATTTTAATATTAATCAATAAGGAGAAGAAATAGAGGCGTTAATTTGATTCACATAAAGTGTGTTTAAGTATGATCATTTTCAAAATTCCCAGTGGAAGGTTGCTTTAAAAAAAAATCATTTCATTCGGGGCTCTTATAACGTTCCATGCATCAGTTGTATCACACATATTTGTACATAGGTTGCCATCATCATTTTCTAAACATTTACTTTCTACTTGAGCCCTTGGTATCAGCTCCTCTTATTTCCCTCTCTCCCATTCCCATTCCCATGACCCCTTGATAAAATATACATTATTACTGTTTTCATATGTTACACTGACCGCTGTCTCTCTTCACCCATATTTCTGTTGTTCATCCCCCTGGGATTGGGTTTATGTGTTGATCATTGACATCGGTTCCCCCTTCCTCACATCCTATTCCCACCTATCCTGGATACTGTGTGTCAAGAGCTCTTATCTGTACCAGTGTACATGCTCCCGTTTAGCCAGAACTGAAACGCACAACTGGGGTCATGGAAGATTTCTTACGCTCCGCCATTACTTAAACTTACTAGTCCACTAAATCAATGCATACTACTTTCTTTATTTGCTTGAACGTAGTGTTATAAGTGATAAATGAAATCTGCAATTAGCTATGTATGAGTTTGTTCATCAGAATATTTACCATTATAAATACTTTGGCATTTTTATGCAAGCTGATGTGCCACCATTTGATTTATGTTCAGCATTAAATACCTTCAGTGTCTTAAAGCTAACAAGAAATATTTTGCTTTTTTTTTTCTTGACCCACTGAACAACATATTTTGGGCCTGATTTTATTTATTTATTACTGCTGCTGCTATTTGATTATGCATGTTCATTGACTAGAATAGCTTGGGTAATTCCTTTCTGTGTATGGCAATGCAAAGCATCCCTTTTAAAATCATCTTCAATGAAATTTCATAATTTTCTCTATGAAATTCTCTTCCAATGCACTTGATCTTTTAATATCTTCACATCCGTGAATAACAGAGGGGATCATTTTCTCTCTGTAATCCCTACATGTTTTAGTGATTAAATAGGGTGAAGTGTTATTAAAATTCACGGAGTGCATATGCTAGCACTGATACACTCT